CAGCACAACTTTTAATTGTCTCAATTTCGATTAAGATGCCTACTTGGCAGGACAAATGTGGTTACTTGGCAATAAAAATCCCCTGCAGTGTCTAAGTGCTATCAACATCAAAAAGTGTAGCAGGAAGTACCTTTGCTACTTTAAAACATTCCTCTTGCGTATCGGTCATAATACTTGGATATATGCCTCAGGGTTCATCAATATAAAATTTTTCTTGGATGTGTTGATGATTTAGGTGGAACAATATCATTTATATAGAAAATTAAGTATACTCTTATTTAAGTCAGTTTTTCCTGGCTTTATGTTAAAATTATGGAATCCAAACTATAGATTTATGTTGATGATTTTTAATAGGATTTCCAACTATGTTTATGCTTTAGCATGATCATTGGCATTTTAATTCAAGTTCTTGCTTTTTAACAGAAAGCAAAATATTAATGTTCATGTGAAAAACAGCATCTTAAAAATCTTAAATATCTTTAAAAATTGATTTTAAACATAATTTCTTTTATCATTAATTGTTATGAACGTTACAGCATTATTTGCAAACCAAACTAATTATGATGCTGATATTGAAAAAAAAAGTGAAGTCTTTGAGTTATTTAGAAATGTCTGCTTGCTAAATTATGTAGATAACCGTTAATCAAGTTTAGGTATCAAAATTAGACACATTGCTTTTACAACAGAGATCATGTCTTTCAGTTCAAAATTATTTCTACATAGCAGTAGCTAAAAGTGTTTTTATCTCTTTGACTTACTATGAAATGCTCCAAATTTATTAGTGTGGTCTGACCATGAACCAAGTCCATTTGGATACAAAGCTGTTTTTTAACCACAATTAGAAAAAGAAGTTTAGGGAGCTATCCCTTCAGCATTCTTCTTCCTTAGTACCACTTTTCAGTGTATACCCAAGTGTCTCTGTATGTATGTATTATAAGTGTGCATATGCAATAAAATCAATCTTTTATTTAAGAACAAACACTTTCATTTAGTGTGTAAGTTGACAAGCCTGTGATTGTCCCTGACAGAATAGTTTGCAAAGTCAATGATAACAAGAGGCACTTTACCAAGTGATTAATTTCCATTGGCTCAAATCACTAGTTTGGTAACACAAAGTAGTTACTCATGTTCAAAAATGCATAATCAGTAAATAGTTTTTGAATTTATCTCTCTTTAGACAAGAACGGTTCCACTCAAACTAAAATGGATGGATTATTTCTAGTAAACATGAAATTGAAACCTTTTTTTAAAACCCTGTAGTCTTAATCTTTTAAAGCAAATTAAGTCCTTTGAAAGAATGTCTTAGCTTGTTCTACTTGTCAGTAATGTATTGCTTCAAATTTTATCATTTTGCTTTCACCCTTTTTTCCCCGAGAATGATACTTAGTCGCTCACATTAGATCACTTTAATTTGATTTATAATGCTATGTTGGAAATGTGTGCAAGTCAAATTTTGCATGCATCTTATATAATTTTATGTACAAATTAACCTTTATTTCGTGTAGCAAAGAAATTAACATTGCTGTTAGCTTTTCTCACAAATATAATGGAGTGAATAATTTCATAAATTATAATTAAAAAAATTTAAAAGCAAGTAAAGTATATGACTCTTCTGGATTCGTTCAATATACTTTAGCCTTTCAGCAGACATTCTTTCAGTTTTAACTATATGTTGGACGTTTTGCTAAGTACCCACACCCATTCAATGTCATCAATCAATTCCAATTCATGGTGACCCAGTATAGGGCTTCTGGGGACTGTAAATCTTTACAGGAGCAGAGAGGCTGGTGCGATTGAATTATTAGCCTTGCAGTTAACGGCCACTGCTTACCTCATAGCACCACCAGGGCTCCTTGGTTAGGCTAGAAGATGCATAAATGAGGAATACAATGATTTTGGACTGTGGATGCTGAAAAATTGATGGAGATAGAAAAAGTGGTGGTAGTGGTAAGGAAAATAAGCTTTAATGTATGTTTCTAAAACATAAGAATTTGATATATATCCAAGAAGGTATACATTATTTTTTATTTCACATAAAAAGGAAGCATCTGACATGTTCTTCAGTACTCACATGTTGTTCAAGATTTGAAAGCTGATAAGTGACAGTTAGGCAGGCATTCACACTCTAGACTCTATTTTAAATTATAGTAAATTTCTTTTGCATATCCATCATGATGAGGATATAAACATGGCCTTACCCTCAACAATTCCTAGATTTTGTGAGAGCAATTCAGGTTCTGTAAAAAGATAATACTGCATCCCTTTAAACTGTGCCTGTCTAAACAAGCCGTTCTCAACTGTGGGCCGCCGATTCATCACAGTAGCAGAATTACAGTGATGAAGTAGCAGCGAGAATAATTTTATGGTTGCGGGGGGTCACCACAACCTGAGGAACTGTATTAAAGGATCGCGACATTCGGAAGGTTGAGAACCACTGGTCTAAACCCATCTTATCACACATTTGTGTTCAACATGAATTTATGGTATTAAAAAGAAGTGGGAGACCATTAAAATTGTATGGTATTAAAAGGCACTTGAGAGCTAAACCACATTTTGAACTGGAATGTGTTGATCCACTTCTCATTGTTAATTTTGATCTATAGGAGATTTCAGCCTCAACGTCTCATAACTGGTTTACCCTTCTGTTATTATTACTTGAAATTGCTACCTGAGGAATACTATGTTAATCCTATATAACTCATCTCAATTCTTTCTGTTTATTAACCATTTAAATGGAAAACTAGGCGACATACATGATTTTTCAAGAAGTCAAAGTACGTGTTTAAATATAGAGTGAAATTTTTGTAGAAAAGATAGAAATGAACATTTTATATTGATCCTCAAATATTCAAGTACACCTTGAAAAACAATTTAAATTTTTCATATTTGATGCGTATAGACTTCCATTATATATAGACTGACTTCCACACATTTATAAGATTTTTCATAATCCATGGATTAGATATTATGGTATAAGTTCATATATAAACAGAAGACATAGTTCAATAATATCAATAAGATCAATTAGTGCCAGTAACACAAGTGTATAAGAAATATAAAATAATCACCTAGAAATCTTTTTTGAAATGTAATGTTCATACCTCACGATCCTCAAATGTTGTCCATTTAGAGTAGGGTAAAGATAGGTTTCCATAGCACTGATTGTGGGGCACCCTCAACAAGGTGCAGTGACACAGCGACTGTACCAGTGGGCTCGCCTGTGGGAACAATTGTTCTGTTCTGTTGTGCATAGAGGAGCTATGGGGCATAACCAGCTCGATGGCCCCTAACAAGAACAGTTGGAAGAACAATTTGTGGAGGTTAACTCTACAAAATATCTGCATTTTGAATAGGATTTCCAGTTGCTTTTGATAGCCAGTGTTTGTCCCTCTAATCATTCTTTAGCCCATCTTGTGACCCATGGGACATTTAGTACCCACCTACACTTTGGGGCTTTAATGGGAAGGCTGTATCCACTATTTTTGCATGCTGCCCTCAATGGGGGGGGGGGCCTGTGTAACTGTTCATAGCTGAAGAAATAGACCTCTCAAGGAAACACACTAGAGAGGCTTCTGGACGTTTGTTATGCACTAATTATAGCAAAATCTGTGTCATGAGATCTTTTTTTTTAATACCTTCTTTTCCTGAAAAGATAGGGTTTCAGCAAAAACATTGTAGCAGAAAAATATTCAGTCTTGAAAAGCTTATAAACATGTTTATAAGACCTAGTGTAAAAATAATAATGTGTTAGACTACTAACCACAAGGTCAGTTCGAAACTACCAGTGGCTCCTTGGGAGAAAGAGGAGGCTTTCTGCTCCCACAGAGTCACAGTCTTGGAAACCTACTGCAGCAGTTCTCCCGTGCTCCGTAGGGTCGCTAGTAGTCCGAATTGATCTGATGGCAGAGAAGTGTTTTTGTATGCAAACCCAGTAATTTAAGCCTATTACATCAACTATATTTAAATTTATGAACATGGTATTCTGATAATTTAGTCAACACGTATACTAGAAATTATCAAAGTTGCTTTTATTTTATTTTTAAATGGTGAAAATTACCTGGCATTCAATTATGCTTTAGGACGTAATAGTTTAAACAAAAAAAAATTATTTTAACTCTACAGGAGTCTAATAAACTTTAAAACAATCTCAACCATTATAATGTCTAACATTTCTTGAATGCTTACTTGTCAAAAACCATGCTAAGCACATTACCTAAACTGGTCAAATTTAGTCTTGGCAGCTGTGCTACGGGGCAGATATTGAGGAAACTGAGGCCTGATAGCCCCACGGGCAAATGTCTTGGCAGGGAAGGAGGCTGAGCTACTGACTGTGCAAAACTTCTATTTGGAGCTCGTGTGTTGAACAAACTGTTAAGTTCTACGATGCACTTTGCTAGTTCTGGATTCTAGGCAGAGTCTGTGGTTTGCATTTGTAATTTCACAGTTCTGCTGTTGTTTAGTGAGCACTTGCTCTTTCAGTGGAGGATTTTCTTGTCATATGTATATGTTTTTCTGTGTACACAGTAGTACTCCCTCTCCCAATCTGATTTTCCTTTTTCCAGTTTTGGTGCCCTGAGTTCACTGGACCCAAATGTGTTAATACACAGTGTGATGAACTCTTGCACAGTCCCCCTTTTGTTCCGCCCAGGATGTGAATCATCCATTTGTCCACCGTACCCTTGCTTGCACACAGCCTCCCCATTAGTTATTATTGTTAATTGCTTACTCTTACTCTGCCTAATTTGTACATTAAACTTTATTTCACATATCTATGTATAGGGCAAAACATAGTATGTCTAGGGTTTTGTAATTTCCACTGTGTCAAATATCCATTGGTTGTGTTGGGATTAAGGGTAAAGAGGGAAACTACTGTACACATACACACGTGCACACACCTCATTTTATTTAGATGAGAGTGTGGTATTAATACTTTCTGTATATGTAGAAATGTAATTTATGAAGTCTGAAAAGTTGACATATGTCATACTTCTCAATTTCAGTTCATCGATGGTCGACTGGCAAAGCTAAATGCAGGAAGGGGCTTCTCTGATGCATTTGAAGAAGAGATCACTTCAGGTGGCTTTTGTGGAGGTAGAGATTACTTACCATAAAATTATTTATTTACTGAACAGCATATCTTGTTTTTAAAATTATTATCTGATTTAATGTCCTTAATAAACAGCTAAGATTTTGGCATTTGCTGCCTAATATATGATGTCTTCAGATTCACTTTCGTTTCAAGAGCTCTGGTGTATACTTTGTCTGCTGTGTAATTATAGTTATTACAATGGATTGGCAGCCATTTCCTCTGATAATGATACCTGAATAGTAGTAACACAGAAATCTAATTATTTTAAGTTTTCTCGCTTGCCTTCCTAACAAGTGTTTTCTGCCAGCAAGCTAGTGACGGGTTTTACTACGTATAAACTTGAGACCTAGTAGATTGCACTACATTCCGTGAAGAAAGACTTGAAAGGCACACTGCATCTTTGGTTCTGAAATAACAGTCATATCCGTGATGTCTTACCTATTTGGCTTTGCAAAATGCTGTAGCATTAGGGAAGCATTTTCCGTCTCCCACCCTAGGTGCTCATACTTGCCACTATGGAAAGAACTCACAGCAAGGGTGAAATCTGTGTGTAACATATTAGTTGATTATTTCACTTTTACATAATATAATTAATGTGTCAAAAATGTAAATATTCAGACAATGTTGTAAACTTTATAAAGGTGAATGCTATAATTGTGTAGGAAATTACTGATTTAAGAACAGATACATTGTACGTGGATTATGGCCGAGGCCTGACTGGCAGAAACTTTTGCTTGAGTTCTGGAAATATCCTGTTTATCCATTTGGCCAGAACATGCCAAGTGCTTACTGTGTACTGGGTATAGTTCTCGTTATTGAATAACTAAGCAAGCACAGACCCATGTCCTCTATATCCTAGTGTGTTCATATTTGAATCGGTGTGCTAGTGAAACAGCTATTTGAAGCTACCAGCTTCTCCTTAAGAGAAAGACGAGGCTTTCCACTCCCATAAAGAGTGACGGTCTCAGAAACCAGTTGGGGCTTTACTGTCCTCTGGGGCCACTGTGAGTCAGAATGGACTCGACACCCTTGAGTTTGTTGTGTCTTTGTTTTGTTTTATGCACAGAGACTGCTAAACTTGAGAAATGAAGCATGAAAAGACAGTGAGATAAATTTTCATTTGCTTCTTAATTACCATAGATTTATATTTGAACCTCAAAAAAATAGAAGCAACTGAATAATTTGTTCATTAAAATGAACTTAGCAGTTACAGACTTTCATCTGATGTAAACATGGGGCATTTTATTGAAAGCATTTAGGTTAGGGAAAAAAGTTAGTTTACTTGACTCAGCAAGTGAGCTGCATGTGGAATCATTCAGCTCCTTCTTGCTTTGCCCAGCTCATGGGTGAAAATTTAGCTTCAATGGAACTTTTGTGTTAAATAAGGCTCTTTTACTTTTCAACTCAGACAAGCAAAATATTGTCAGCTCATGGTCAAATTGCTTGAGGCATCTATTCAGTATTTACATAAGTGCTGTCTCATTATCTCTATGACCCGTGGGGCTAGTAGCTTCTATGGGATTGAAGATGACATTCTGTGACAGTAATGGGGTAGAACTATGATCCCTTTGTACTGTTAAATTGTGTGGTCCGAACCATTGGTCCAGATGCCTCTGGAATTGTTGCTTTCCTAGTGAGTGGGCCACTAAAATATTTTAGTAAAGGTCTTTGAAAAAAAAAGAATAGGGGTATATTGATTACTACTCAGCATTAGAAACTTGTGCACTTTCAGTATAACTTAATGCTAACAATCTAGTTGTTTTCATAAGATGAAAAAGGATTTTATTTAATTTGAGGGAATTGATATTTATCTAAAAGAAAAGCCAAGTTCAACATGTATTGATTTCAGTGAGCACAGCAAGAAATTACATTTAAATTATGCCTGGCCATCAAAGGTTATTTTTAAATTATTGTAATTAAGATTATTATATTAGAGATACTTAAAGATTATTTCTTAGAAGACAGCAAAGTAATATCTATGAGGGCTTAAAGAGGCTAATAATAAAAAGTAGTAATGTTCTTCTAAGTGAGGAGAGAGATATTTATTTCAAAGTGTTTCTAGAAATCAGCTCTAAGCCTTTAGATTATATTTCTGTAAAAGGAAAATGCGCCTGCGTTGGCTATTAAAACTATTCTTTAAAAATAAGCAAAGGTTCTAACTTTGACATATTTCTCATTATAGCAATAATTATAATTCTTGTCATCTTTATTGAATACCACCAGTATGTGATAGAAACCTGCCTAAGAGCATTGCCAGTGTTATGCCATTTAACCCAGGGTGGTTTGAGCCCACCAAGGTATGCCATGGAAGATAGTCCTGGCAATCTGTTTCTGAAAGTTCATTCTTAAAAACCCTATGGACCAGTTCTACTCTGCACATATGGGGTCCCCATGACATGGAATCGACTCTGGAGAATCCAGTAATAAAATACAACAATCTTCACGATATTATTATGAGGGTATTCATCTCAGTGCATTGTTTTTTTAAATTATTTTATTGGGGGCTCGTACAACTCTTATCACAATCCATCCATCCATTGTCTCAAGCACATTTGTACAGATGTTGCCAAAGCATTTTCAAAGCATTTTCTTTCTACTTGAGCCCTTGGTATCAGTTTCTCATTTTTTCCTTTCCCTCCCACTTTGCCTCCCTCCCTCATGAACCCTTGATAATTTACAAATTATTATTATTTTTTCATGTCTTTAAGTCAAGCAAGCTAGTAGTGGCCAGAGCCTGAAATCAACAGAGCACTTACTCTTGTTAAATATGTATATTATATTATCATATTTACTATATATATACATATTATATAAACTATACAATATAATAATGTTAATTGGTGATGCAAGCTCAAGCTGTTCTGCAGGAGGAAGTAGAGGCTATTTCCTACCATAAAGATTTACAGCCTCAGAAACCCTTCAGATTGGACTTGATGTCAGTGGGTTTGGTTTTATTTTGATTTAGGTGCTGTGTTTGGTTGGATTCTTTAGAGAAGCACAAGCAGTGATGCTTGCATGTGCTGTATATAGGAAGAAATTCATGTCAGGAAATAATTTACATAGTTGTAGAAATAGGTCAGTCCAGTCTAGTTCAAGTCATGTTTCTCCCGATACGTGGAAGCTGATGAACAGGAAGCAAGATGACAAAGCAGAAACATCAGGGGGCACAGGCTGGTAGATGCAGAGGTTCCACGTGAGCCAAATGAATCCCCCATATGTAGACCACTGACAGCTCCTGGGCTGAACAGGCAATACAAGAGAAGACTGAAGAACCAGATACAATAGCTACAGCAGAAGGTGAAAGGCCAAAGAGGAATTGACCCTGGGAAAGTGTCTCACTCTTATGCCAAAAGGCTTGTGATACCAAGGAGTGTCATCTGGTTGTGATGTAACTGCCTGTTTGAGCTTCACCCTCTCCTTACCTAGGAGTGTCTAGTTGATATAACCCCTAATCCTCACAGATAGTAAACATGAGCAGAGCTCAAGTCGTCTATGGGGTGATTAGATACAGACAGACAGAATTTCTGTCTCTTCTGAATACACATACAGTTTCTGTAGGAGGAAGCAACATTCGGAGAGGCTGAAGGAAAAAACAAGTTTCTTGAAATAGAAATATTTAGGAATTATCTCCCCATTACAAGCTGTCTTTGCAGTGGCAGCTTGTACACTCTTTTTGTTGCCAATACCCATGGCTAGCATTAATGCAATATGAATATAGAGGACCTTCATGATTTTTGTGAGTCTTGCTTTAAAATATGCAATCCAAGAGGACCAGACATCGAAAAGTGCATTTCACATCTGAATAAAGAAGTATGGTGAAAAGATTCTGAGAATGCATGCAAATTTAGAAAAGCTGTTTTCTGTCCTGTGAATCTGTAGGATTGTTAAAGAAATTCATGTTATCTGATTAGGGTTTTAAACCTTTTATTGTGAAATAGGTTAAGGTTTTCAGAATCGGGAATTTAGTTTTTACATCTAACGATTTCTATACATTTGTTTCACTTCATCCATTTTTTATTTTATTGGGGACTCTTACAAAGCTTATGACAATCCATCATTTGATTGTATTAAGCACAGTTGTACATATGTTGCCATCAATATTTCTAAAACATTTTCTTTCTACTTGAGCTCTTGGTATCAGCTAATTCATCCATTTTTTCCTTTTTAATCATTTATTGGGGGCTCGTACAACTCTGATCACAATCCATACATACATCCATTGTGTCAAGCACATTTGTATATTTGTTACCATCATCATTCTCAAAGCATTTTCTTTCTACTTGAGCCCTTGATATCAGCTCCTCATTTTTTCCCTCCCCTCCTCTACCTCCCTCACTCCCTCATGAACCCTTGATAAATTACAGATTATTATTCTCATAACTTACATTGTCCATTGTTTCTCTTCATCCACTTTTCTGTTGTTCATCCACCTGGGAGGAGGTTATATGTCTATCCTTTTGATCAGTTCCCCCTTTTTCCCCCCACCTTCCCCTTCCTCTCCTGGTATCTCTATTCTCATTATTGGTCCTAAGGAGTTTATCTGTCATGGATTCCCTGTGTTGCGGGCTCTTATCTGTAGCAGTGTACATGTTCTGGTCTAATCAGATTTGTAAGATAGAATTGAGGTTATGGTAGTGGTAGGGAGGGAGCAGCATTAAAGAACTGGAGGAAAGATGTATGTTTCATTGGTCCTGTACTGCACTCTGACTGATTTGTCTCTTCCTTGTGACTCTTCTGTAAGGGGATGTCCAAGTGTCTACAGATGGGCTTTGGGTCTCCACTCCGCACTCCCCATAATTCACAGTGATATGATTTTTTTGTTCCGGGTCTTTGATGCCTGATACCTGATCGCATCAACACCTCATGATCACACAGGCTGATGTGCTTCTTCTATGTGGGTTATGTTGCTTCTCAGCTAGATGGCCACTTTTTTATCTTCAAGCCTTTAAGACTCCAGATGCTATATCTTTTGACAGCCAGGCACCATCAGCTTTCTTCACCA